ATTTAAATAGGTAATTTTCTTTTTATTATAACTTTTTTTTTTACATAATAATCATAGTTGAAATTTTGCAAGTTTATGCACAAAGGTTACACCAAGGTACTTGTGTAGTAGCACAAAAAATACTCAAATATAATTGGTTAATTTAGAAATATATCAAAATATTTTAATTTTTTAATTTTTTTAAAAAAAAATTGACCAACTTTGAGATTTTTTTAAACAATATGTAATCAAAACTTAATCTAATTTTTTTTGATAAATATATTCTATAAATCTTCAAATATTAAATATATTAATTTAATTGTAAGTTAATATGTAAAATTTTGTGTAATTATATTTTAATTCAAATGTATCAAGTTTGGTGTATTATGCTTAATAAAATGACCAATATATAGGTATTATAGCATCTTATTTAGATAATCAGTTTAGTTTGCATGAAGTATTACTAGCAATGAAACATATCCCATATTCACATACAGGTGAAAATATTGCTGCCGAAATATCTAATATACTTAATGAATAGAATATTAAAGATGAAGTATTTTGTATTACAACTAATAATAGTGCAAATGTAAAAAAATCAATTGCACTATTGTCAAATTATATACATATACCTTGTACCTCTTACATTTTACAGTTAGTAATTGGGAAGAGACTTCTTCTATGTGAAGTCTTAGTAGCTCGTGCATGTTGGCTTTGTAGTTTTTTTACAACACCAAAACAAAGTAAAAAACTGCTTTAAGTACAAAAAAATATGAATTTGTCAAATAATTAGGTATATTCAGTTACATATATATATATATATAGAACTGAAAATTATTATATATAGCAATAGATCATTATTGCTGATTACTACCAAAATTGATTTATATAATCAATAATAAAGTTTTTTTTAGTTCTACATATATGAGTAATATATATACTGTATATTTGTTTACTAATAATTTAAATTATTTAAAATTTTAGTAGAAAATAAATGTCTTAGAATTATTAATGATGTATCTACTCAATAGAATTCAATATATCTTGCATGGATAAGATTACTTAAAATGCATCATGTGATAAGTGCTATAATTAGTTATTTGAAATTAAAAAATAATCATAATTCGAAGCGTGACTGTAATCGTCTTAAAAAAATAAATCTAACTAATAAAGAATGAATAACTATTGAGCAATTAATTCCTGTTTTATGTCCATTTACTGATGCTACAAAGTTTCTTGGTAGTAGTAATTACTCAACAATTAGCTATATGTATCATTCAATTTCACTTATAAGATCAGATCTTGCATTAAGTGAAGATTATATAGAAATGATAAACTTTACAGATTCAAGTACTGTATTTGATAAAGATATTAAATATGAAAATGCTGATAAGAATATTGATAATAATCCTTCTACTCCTCATTATAAAATTCGTATAAATGCTCTTCAAAATTATGATAATATTATTTTATGAGTTCATGCTGCACTACTTAAAAGTCTTCATTATTATTATTCAGTTCCAACAGAAACTGGCTTAATGGCAGCAATATTAGATTTGCAAAGCAAATCTTTATCATTTATATTACCATATGATGCACAAAAAGTGTTTAACAATTTGCATATATTATTTAATAACTTAAATATTAATACATATTCTGTGCAGCTTCAAGATAATTTAAATGATTCTTTGCTTGCACGTATGCATTAACATCAACCAACCAATACTGATGTAGTTACAAAATATCTTGTCTATCCAGAGGTTTCTTCAAATATCAATCCACTTCATTGGTGGAAAGATAATGAAAATAATTTTCCATTTTTAGCTAAATTGGCTAAAAAATATCTTGCAATACCAGCTACCTCTACCTCTAGTGAAAGGTTATTCTCTGATGCTAGTAACATTATGACTATACATAGAACAAGTTTAAGTCCAAATGTATTTGAACATCTTCTGTTTCTGAAAAGAAATGGTAAGTTAGTTCATAATATATTTCCTAATCAGTATCTATAAAAACTAAAAAAATACAGTAATAATAGTAATATAATTTATTTAAAAATTTTTTTTTTACTAATTTTTGTTTAAAAGATTAAATACTATGAAGCATTGTATTTAGTATCTGATAATCAATTCACAATTAATTTGCTGCAAGTTTATTTCACTAATATCTATTTTACTAACAACTCATTTTACCAACTAGTTTTTTTTTTAAGTTGCACTAACATTAACTCTAATTTTAACTGACTTTAACAAAATAATCAGAATTACTTTGCCAATAAAATGACTGTTAGTGAAATGACTGTTGGTGAAATAACTGTCAGTGAAATAGACTGTGAAATGAATACCACTCTAAGTCAATGTTAATTGTATGAATTAATAAAGTAGATAATTAATAAGCAAATGTATATAATTGACAAGCTACCAATCAAAATTGATATATGATTTAACTGTTTTTTTATTTCTGTTTTGAGCAAACAGAAAACTATTGACTGATACTGCTTTTTATTTATTATACTATTATAAAAACACCTGGTAAGTATAATCTTGCTAATTTTTTAGATAGTTTCAGTTCAAATTACATATTATTCACAATGTATTCTATGAACTTCATATCTTTTATTTTTGATATTATAGTCAAAAAATACAATATAAGAAGAGAGGAAGAAGAGTATAATTCAAAAAAAGATTTTAATTAATTCTTTGTCAAAAATCTGTTTTTATTATACATTACTACTTTTATATACTTAACTTTTTAAGGCATCTTAATCTGAAATAAATACAACACTCCATAGTGCATAGTAATAAATTAAATATTATTAAACTGATTTTATTTTAAAATTATAGGTTGAACTTCAAAAAAAGACATTAAGGGAGTAAGAATTTTTAATCAATATAGAATTTACTAGTTAAAATATTGTGACTAGTATAACCAATATTTTAGTTATAATTTCAATATCAATTTTAATAAAAATTATTATTTTGGTATTTTGTTTTATTAAATTTAATTTAATTTTCTTATAATTCTGTATCTTTAAAATATTATTGCCAAAGGTTAGCTTGGTTTAAAAGTCAATAAATTATTAATGCTTAATTAAATTACAAACTTTATGTTATAAACCACATGATTTTTGTAAGATGTGTATATGTGATTAATTTGTGCTATAATAATAATTATTTTTTATTTTACATATTTGACAAGAATTACTAAAATATAAATAAATAGATAAAAGGTTTTTTAAACATCTAAAATTAATAGCATATTCAATATTTTTATTTTCTAATATTTGAGAACTTCTACACCTATACTTGAATCAAAAGTTTTTATCAGCTAGTTGAAATGTAATCTTTGACCTTATTAGCATTCAGCACTAATTAAAATAATACTTGTAACCTTTTAAAAACATTCAACAATCAGATTAATAAATAATTAAAGTTTTTAATAATACTGTAATATAAAGAGAAACTGTAAAAGAAATAAGATTCGATGCTAATCATTATATTAGTATCAGATATTTAGAAAATTATTCGAAAATAATTAGATTAATTAGATAATTGCTGCATATAACCAGATTGATCAGATAATTGTTTTGGTAGATAAACAGATAACCAGATCTAACCATTAGCTAAAATACCAGTTTAGCACTGGTATTAACTGTATTACAGTATTAACTTTAAAGTTATGTTATACAGATCTCATTATGCTTTTAGATTTGTACTATTATTGAATGCATGTATATAAGAAAATTTTTAAAGATTTGAATTAGCTTATTCAACTTTCTTTTTTCTAACTGCCTAAAACTTGTAAAAGCTTTAATACATAGTGTTATTCATTATTACAGAACCATTTCATTTTAAAAAAATTTAATGATATACAATACACTAGTTAAATAACAGATATCTCAAAAGTCTTGTTCACTATGCTTATTGAAATAAAACTTTTATCTAACTATATTAAACCTAATCTACACATTTGTGTCTAAATTAAATAGCCAAGCAACTTAAAGCAAAGATGCACAACATTTAACAAAAAATTTAACATGCAATAATAATGAATTCGACAAAGGGGTGCAAAAGAAGAACTAGGCAACATTACCAAAAAATTATTCAAATTATTAAAAAGTAAATGCAAACTCAAAATTTAAAAATTCATCTATTATGAAGTTGACTTTCTCATTATATCAGTTATTCAAAAAAGACATATGATAATTTGTTAGACAATTACCCCAATCTATTGTTATTAACTATTAAAATAAACTAGAGGTATGTAATACAAACCTACATTTTTTAAGAGTTCAACTTTAATGATTAACACAACTAAATAAAAATTATGTAATAATAATTATGTACAATCTCAATTGCTTAAATCGAACTCTGTTATTTTTATATCTCTTGGCATTATTTAGCAGAGGTAGCTAACGATAACTATTACCTAGTCCAATATTCAAAAATATATTAATAATTCACCCATCAATAATATCTTTGCATAGTCACCTTACCAAGATAAGTCACATATCAATATGAACTTTTCTATGTTTAATACCAAGCATCTACAAATTTATGCATTTTAGCATCATACTTTTATGCAAGTTAATCGCTAATAAAGAATACAACTATAAAAGATGAGATGTCGAACTTAAAGAACAGATATATTCAATAAAAAAACAGTTTTTATTCTGATCAATTTTAGCAATTCATGTTAGGATTTGTCAATGCTACGAATATACAAGCATCAACAAATTGAAATATAAAATTCACTATATGGGCAACATACACAGAAAATCTATCGAATCAATATTTGTGAGATGAATATAGAGATAAAAATCAAGGCAAAAATGTTAAGACCATATTAGTATATAGTTAGCTAGCATTATATAAATTTGTATACAAATTCAAAATAGAAAAGTAGCTTTACACTATTGAGATTGTTAAGTATTTTACTATTTGTTAAGTTATTAGTTTAGAAAAAAAAACAAATTTATAGATAAAAATAAAATTGTAATTAATAAAAAATATTAATAAATTATTCATTTTAAATATTTTTAGAATTAAGGATTCAAAGTTCTAATAATGTAATTGAATTGCATAAAATTATTAAGATATATTGACATAAAGTAATAATTCATTAAAAATATTTTCTAGTTTTATAATTATATTGATATATTAACTCAGATAACTGATGTACTTATAAAGCAATGATGATAATTAATTTTAGAATGATATATAAGTGAAGAATTTTTTGTTTTATGGTCTTGTTAATTATTATTATTAAACTATGAACAAAGGAAAAAATAAAAAAATCAGTCCATCTTTTAACCTTTTTTCTTTACAATAACCAAAATGATCATTGACTGGACAAGATACAATGAATAATGAAAAAATATCAACAAATTCATTTCAAACTTCATTGCAATCGAAATCATTTGCTTTAACTACACCATTAACTAATTCTTCTTGAGTTTTATTGCAATCAAAATCACCTACTTTAAACATCTTAACTATGCTATTACAATTACCTATATTAGCAAAAGAATTATATCATCTCAAACAGCACAATCAATTGCATCAACACAATTAACAAATTTAAACAACTCATTGCAGTCCATTTTTTAAACTAAAAAAAGAAAAGCTGATGCAGCAACTTCTAACCTTTCCATGACTACTACTAGCAATAAGTTTAGCAAACAATCATCTATAAGTTTTATAATTTTTATTTTATTTTATTTTATTTTTTTTTAAAAAAAATACTTAAAAATATAATGATTCTTTTATAATTTAGCTCCAAGTCATTGTCGACTCTTCTCCATATGCTATTCTTCATGATGAAAATTCAGATTAATATATTTATATCATTAATATGTATTTTATTTTTTAATATATTAACTAATAATGTATTATTTATTAGTGCTACCACTTGTTGATTTATGAACTTTGTCAAAGATTTTAAGCATCAGACAAAAAAGCTTTACCCAAATTGAACATATTACTAGAAGACAAGCTAAACTTGAATATCTTATCATTGAATAATGAAAGCAGCTTAAACAGGTTCTTGAAAAGTTAAATAATACTGAAAGAATGCATAATCCTGCTATGGGCAAAAGAAAAAGAAAATGAAAATGAAAGAAAATGACAGATGAATTGTTTCAAGTAGTTGCTCTTTAACTTATTAATTAGATTTAATTTTTGTATTATTCATCTATATATTTATTACATATACTGTAGGAAGCAGTTAGAGAACTTTCATATGAATTATTTTATGATCATAAGCAAATAAGCAATGCCAAAATGAAAGTGCGACTCAAAAATAAGTTAGAAAACAATAAAGATTGTGCAGAACACTTGCACCTTTTAGAAGAAAAAGAGTTTTTATTTGAAAGATTGTGGCATGAAAATTATATTCAGATGTTAGTATTTTTTAATAATATTACATGTAACATATATATATAATCTTTAATAATGTTACATGTAATATATATATA